AAAATCACACCCCACTTATACTATAATATTCACCCTTTCCAAAACTTTGTTCAAATAAACTTACAAGTAACAAAATATTTTCCCTTTCCTTTGATATAATTGTATATGTGACCAACTAATCACTGTTTTTGACATATTTGGAAAGCAAATGTTTCCTCATCATAATGTTTCCGTACATGTTAATCAAAAGTTTTCAGAATGTAAATAAATAATTTTGTTGTTATTTATTATTTATCAATTAAATGTATTAATTTATTTTGTGCGCCCAAGAGTAGACAAACCCAGGAGAGTGATCAATTACTGAACATTTTATGAAAAGTTCTTTGAAATATAATGGTGATTATGATATAAGTATAAACTTACAAATAACAAAATATTTTCGTTTTTCTTTGATATAATGTTATATCTGACCAACTAATCACTATTTTTGACACATTAGGAAGGCAAATATATGACTCATCATCATTATAATAACGTTTCCGTACATTTTCATCAAAAGTATGTTTTAGAAAGAATCGTAAAAATTAACGTAATTTAACCAAGTTTTTCAGAATGTAGTTAAATATTTTTGTTGTTATTTATGATATACCGATTAAATGTATTAATTTATTTTGTGTGCCCGCAAGAGTAGACAAACCCTGGAAAGTGATCATTTTATGAAAAGGGCTTTGAAATGAAATGATTATGGTATTACAATTGGTTTCGTTTTTTATTGCCTACTGACGTGAGAGTATTCATTAATGGCTATGAACATATTCTAAAAACTAATGTTATTTGAAGTGAAAGTTCGGTTAAATTGTTTTGAAATCGTGAAAAAAAAGGAATTCTATATTAATTATTATTTAAGAAAATGAGTTTATCACAATGGTGTATGTGCATTTTTTATTGCCTCAAGTTTATGGTATAAAATATAATGTTTAACGATCTACAATATTTTTGAATATTCTTCAAGAAATCAAAAATTGACTGACCGATGATTGAGTTTTAAGAGTGAGTCTTTAGAATCAAGATGGGATATATTGAATAACATACTGGAAAAAAACCGGACACTCGTATTTTGTTATCTATTTCAAACTTTATGTATTTTTATCGTCATACTAATTACTTCATACTTATATAAATGTAAGCCAAATTAATATAATATAATGTACTATATACAACGATCATTACATGTGTGAGGGTCACAGCGTAATTCATATATTGTGTATATTACTGATCATATATTAAAAAATGAGAAATTCTTGAGTTTAATTAAACTTATTTAATAATTCTAATCTTCGATACGCTGCTGCTCTGTTTTTTTTTTAAATTACGTCGTAGCAACATTTATATATATTCAAAATTTTAAATTTTAATTTCGACTTTTACATTTTTATACGAAGAAAATCTTACAATTTTAAACCATTTAATATGTACTTCATTTTCATTTTAAAGATATTTGGAATAGGTTTAAAAACATTGTATTAGGTTGAAATTGTAAAAAAAAAAGGATTTTTAAAAATACTACAAATTAGCACGTACATTTTTGAAGTCACTGGTCTTATTCTAAAACGACCTGAGTATTTCTATTATTGAATTTTATGAAAAAGCTGAAATATACAAATTTAAATTAAATAAAAGATGTAAGAAAAGGAAGATTTTTTTAAATAGACGGGGGAAGGTCATTTTGCTGGACGGATTAGAAAGGGGGTTCAATTACCGAGCCTCCCTCAGGGAATTTTCCGTCAGCCGTTCTCTTTTCTATTACGAGATACATCTATTTCAATTCGACTAAAACGTAACTAACTTTATACTAAAATTATCTTCACTTTATTTTTTAAAACCTATTTTTATATTTAAAAACTACTTATATTTAAGTTAGAAATGAAAACACAAATATAATATATTAATTTCTTTAATACGCAAGTCATTACAGTATAACTGCTACAAATTTTTTTTAATATAGGCAGAAACATTACCATTTATAATATTTTTATCCGTGCGTAATTTGCTGTAATATATGCGTACAGAAAAAACACATTACGAACAATCTCGATGAAAGTATGACCTTGAAGAAGAAGATAGCAACTAAATTTGCTTTTTTCTTTTTCAAGACCATATATTCATCCATAGTGTTCGTAAGTGAAAAAGTGATCGATACATCTAATACTGAAAACATATTATAACTGATAATGTTTCTGCCTACATAAAAGTACAATTATTATATCCTTGTAATAAAAGGGGTAAGTTAATGACGGTAAAGAGTTTATTACGTACTCACATGTATAATTTAAAATGTATGTAAGTTTTCAGGACTTATTGATAATAGTTTTCAACAAAATGCACCCTCATTTTTTTTAAATTAAAACGATTAAAACGGCAAAGTTTACCTTGCAAATGGAAACTGTCTGTAAGAGGATATATCCAGGTCAGTTCGGTCATTATAATTTTTGTCCGTCGAGTTCGATCGCCGACCACTGCTATTTAGACCGACGTCAAATTAATGTTAAAAAACTAAATAGTAAATAAAAATGTTAACTTAATAATAAAAATTGTTTTTAAATAAATTGTTTGATGCAATTATTTGTTCCTTATGAGAGAAATTTGGAAACATTTCTATGTCAATTTAGTAGAGAAATCAGTGAGCGACATTCTTTGTTCGAAAAAATCAACACATTTTTGAAACATTTTTTGCAAGCACGTACAGTTGTGTCGGTGGTCTTGACATTGCGGAGGTAGCCCTCCAGTGTAATAAATTAATAAACTTTTTGTTGGAGAATGTTTTGTTTCTTTACAAAGAAATATGAAGAAATATTTAAGTTCATGTTGTTGAAAAATCCATTTCAACTTAAATAGAACAACATTGGTTTGCACCTATTTTTTGAATGTAAAAATGTGTATAAATTTAATAATTATAAGTACCAAATAAAAGAGAAATTATAAATGAAGACACTTGAAAAAAATACCCATTAATTAAACGACAAATTTCTCTGCTGTGAAATAAAAAATATACAACTTTTTGTATAAAAATTGAATTTCACTCATTATATAAATAAATAAACCAGTGGATAAAAGTAATATTGAGGCAGGTTGTCCACACTGAACAGATGCAACCACACATTTGTTTCTTTTTCGAATAGATCGGTTCGATCAGAAGCTCAAGTTTGTGTACCAGTTGAATAAAACGCTGGCCTGATAATCCTCCGACGAGGGAGCATGTTACCGCTCTTTCTAATTCATACAACGCAAACTCGTTACCGTATTTCTTTCATGATTTATGCCACAAACATATTGCGTTGAGTCTCCGACCACTACTCTTGACCAATATAAAATTACATGTTGTTGTAAAACTAAATAACTCGATTTGATTATAACAGATTGCGCTATAATTTTATTTCCTATCTTACTTTATATTTTTTATTTAATAGTTCGGTGGAATTCGGTAGTACTGTAGAATAATCATTTGAATCTACAATCATTAAATTTACTAAGTAAATATTTTAAAAATAAATTGAAAAAATGACAAATACTAAGTAATCAATGAGAAGGAAAGTATCTGTGGAGCTGGAGATGACCTTAGTTAGCAAACCAAAAAATAAATAAAAAACATATTTAAAAAAGCAGAGCAAAGTTAATTTTTGGCGTAGTAGTATTATAAAAAAAAAGTTATAATAATTTAATTCCACAATTAAACGTTGCAACAGAAACAATATTAGTTCTTTATTAGACGTTTCGATTTTGTTTATTTTTTAAAATAACGAGATCCGGCCAACTCCTCGATGCCGACGGTGGTCCGTGGTGGCTTCGGGTTTTGGTCGGCCTTCGGTTAGAATAAGGGGTGTCTCAACGGCTTAGTAGAATCTTCAGAGAGCTTGTAGTATCAGAAGGTATCGATGTGGACCTCCTGGGAATACTATTCAAAAGAAATACTTGAGAGAGAACCGTTGGGTTTTGTTCTTTCTTGCGTGTGCACTAAAAAAAAATACGAAAATATGTTCGTCGTATGTATTTTGTTTCTTTGGGAGAAAGGTCAATGTAAATACATGTAATACTGGTTAGACACATTTTTGAAATAATTATTATATAACATGCAATTTTATTAAATGAAAAGTAATGAGGTCTGATCAACTGTCGAAAGTATTCTTGCAAACTATCTCATAAAATTGCTCAATAATTCCAACTAACCAGGGATTAACCTTCCCTTTCATTGGGAGTTCCATAAGACTTTAAATAAAGATAGATTAAAACAGCTTGAAAGCGTACATTTCCGTAAGCCTAAAAACATGCGGGTTTGGTCAGGTTTCATGCCGTTTTTAGCCTCATACAGTTAAAGATTATTAGATTATGCCATAAGTATATTAGAATTATATAACGGCCAATAAAAGAAAGGAATCACTGTCTTAGAAAGGGTCTCCTAAATTTTTAAAAAGGCGTGACCATGTAATTACAAAAAAAGTTTATACTTCATATATTTTTTATTTTAAACAAATATATTTTTAATATAGTAAAAAATAATAACTAATTTTTAATGCAACGATTTAGAGCGGTGTTCTTTACGCAAATCGCTAAAATAACGGGTTTTTCTCTCTCTACGGCAGTGAATTCTTTCTTCTAGTTTAAAAAGTATTCAGGGTACTCTCACTAAAAATATTTAATCATAATATTTTAGAAGGATAACAAATGTTTATATCGTTTATTTTACGATTGTTTTTGAAATTTGTTATATTCATACTGTAAATTTTTTAAAAGTGTAACTCAAAAAACTAAAGGGTAATTTATGTAACGTGCTGGATATAGGTAAAGATTATGTACAAAACCGAAAGGAATCCAAACAGGGAAAGCAAGCAATTTTGTTTCCAACATGTACATATAATATATTATCTGACCATTATATAAGTAAAATTTAAAAGCATATTAATTTTGCGTGGAATGTTGCTCGGGGTGGGGTGGGGGTAGTTGGAGGCTCCATGGTATATGGCGATAGGGGAGGGATTTGAGGGCGTGGCGTGGCCACATAAAACTGACCTTCCGGCATTCTGAGGTCTTAATATCCAGTTCGCACTCGAAGCTTCTGCAAACGTCAATCATTTCAAAATCATGGCCAGCTACATTTCCAATACAGCCGAAGAAATGAGAAGGAAGACCAACATTTCGAGATTCCTTGAGGGGTGAGTAACATTTTTACAAAATATTTTAGATTTTAACTAACTCGGATTTCTACTAGTCGTTGCTGTGGATAGTCGTGTCCTATATACACTATATACTTATTCGAGGTTAATTTGAATTTCAGACTCTTGGATGAAGATAGCAGCGATGTGTGCGGGGATAGCTATTCACACTACGCCGGCTCCGAAAAGTAAGTGTTGCTGCCACTAATGAAACACACCGGACTTAAATATATTAATAAGAAAATTTTTCTCTCTTTATTTATTTTTAGCGAACCCAGTAAGATAGATCGCGAGTTTTCACCACTCCACTATCTTCCGGAGAATGAGCTGAACGCTTATAAAGACTATCCTGGGCTTCTGGAAGCGAACAAGAAGAGTGTATTGAAAACACCGTTTTCAATACACAACATAGAGCACGACGATAAACTCGTACAGATTTACACCGGAATACCGGCGGCCAAGGGATTTTTCAATTTGGCCAACAGGTTTACCAAGGTATAAAGCATTCAGCATGTATTATTAATGCGTTTGTTGTTATTTCAAGATAATTTATTTATTTGTTTTTTTTTCAGAATGGCATCAAATACTACAGCGGCTGGGTCGTCGGCCAACTGACAATTAAGCAACAGCTGCTTATGACCTTAATGAAACTCAAGCTCGGCATGGACGACATCCACTTGTCACATAGGTATGTTAGAAAGAACCTATTTTTCTCTAGGGATACAATAATTTTTTATCACCGAAAGCAATGCACTGATTTATTTTGTTTCTAATTGCAGATTTAACTGTTCCTTGGAGACAGTGACAAACACTGTTTTTACTTGGCTGCTCGCTATCCATCAAAAATTGTTTTACGCAATTGTAAAAGATTTTGGTGGACAGAGGCCATTCACAGATCCCGTGTTGATGGATGCGGTAACTCTCCATATAAAAGGGCCAAGGAATCCTCACCTTCCTCATAAGACGCCGTTGGAACCCTACACGGCTCTAATCGTCGCCAGGACTGATGGAGTGGTTATGTACGCAGGCGACATATACCCTTGGACAAGTGACAAAGTGGATGTCATAGAGGAGAGTGATTTTTTCCAAAGTCTCCAGGAAGGAAACGTCATCTGTCTGGACAACGATGTGTCCGCCGTCCTGGATATTCCCGATGGCGTCTTCGTTCTGTCTTTTGACGTCGGATGTGGTGAACTGAACGACATTCGAAAAGACTTGGAAAGGCGGATGAGTGAATACCAGGCATTCCGATGTATACCCCCCGAACTGGAAGGGTATGCCAATGTAGTCTGGCAAGTTATAGTCGCTCTCACCAACTACAGTAAATTTAAAGCGTTTATGGCTTGAGGTACGTTTATTTCTTACAGTACAATCGACTATCTATGTTTATGTACATTCCCAATTACCTTTCATTTAAATGATCTACAGGTTCAAGTTGCAAAGAGAGACATGCCGAAATACGGTGAATAAAATTGACCAAGTCACCTTCCTGACTCTTCGAAACTGCCGTTAGCAACATGGAACGACGACCATCGATTGGGTACGTATCACACTATTAACAAATTTAAAGTAATACGAATATGCTTATTAATGTGCTTTTACTTATGAATTTCAGCAATTGATGAAGATCGTTATATGCATTGACATGCCGAAATACGGTGAAAGAAATGACGGAGAAGATAGTTCAAGATTGAATATTGTGACGAGAAGGAGACCGTTTAAAATTGGAGTTTTTCATTCAAGCGAAGAAGGAAGAGCAAGACCCTTCATTTAATAACTTATATTTGTAATGTATCTCATGTAATAAGAACAGTTTCTTAATCCAAGTTGGGTTTTTTCTTATGTGTAAATATTCAAGGACACCCCATTAATTTTAAAGCAAGATTGGCTTATGTGAAAAAGTCAGGAATACAATTAAATATAAATTAAAATGAGATTTTGACTTATACCTTAAATGTTACCTTATACCAAAAGAAACCATTTAAAATAATTGGACTTGTTGGGTTCGAATTTAGCCCTAATTTTTGTGGTTTGATCAAATTCTATAAAACACCGGAAAAACATTTAGTAATAGATTAAAATTTAACTATCCATTTATTACCTAGTTTGGCTCTTATAACTCGTATTAGCTCCTCAGGACTCGCGGAGGACTTAGGTTTCCTTAGCAACGAGTATATATACGACAGGATTCGTCTTATGAAACTCGTAATTTTGAGAAAGGCTTTTTCCTCATTTATTCAATAAGTTTTCCAATACGGATTATGTGGTCGAGTGTCGGATAAAAAATTCTTCGAACCAGAAATGATCTTTAAAGAGAAAAGGGCAGAATTTCTGGAATGGTACGAAAAGCAAGTCGGAGTTATATACAATATGAAGGGAGAGGTGGAAAAATATTGCAAGCAAGATTTTTCGATACTGACAAATTCTTGTTACATTTAGGGAAATGTTTTTAAACCTTTGAAACGTAGACCCTTTTCGCGAGCCTATCACCTTCGGCTTGCAATCTTTTAAGAGAAATTTCTTTAAACCTGTTTCAATAAGCGTAATACCTCGCGGTGGATATAGAAAAACATGTGTATAATCATGTGCAGGCATGGAATGGTTGATTTATGAAGAAATGAAAAGAGGCAATAACCTTTTACATGCTGGAAATGGTAAAGAATTTAAAATAGGGGCATATGAGGTTGACAGATTTAGTAAAACAACTAACACATTTTTTGAATTTAATGGGTGCTTTTATCACGGATGCACAATATGTTTTCCGCACACCAGAGTACAACCGGTACAAGGAGTCGTAAAAGATACAATTAATGCTTGTTACAAAAGAACAGCTAACAAAAGAAATTATATAAAACGTAGAGGATACACTTTTGTTCAGATCTGGGAATGCGAATTCAAATATTTAAAAAAAAACATCAGAATTTAAATCAAAACAGCATATCATTTCAAAACACCCTGCACTGAACTCGATCCCTTTAAAGCCTCGCGATAATTTTGACGGAGGGCGGACTGAAAACGCTGCATTATACTATAAAATTAAGGAATCTGATGGTGAAAAAATTTTATATCTTGATGTATGTTCATTATATCCGTGGGTAAATAAATATGGAAAGTATCCGATATCTCACCCGAAAATTTATCTAGGCCACGATACTTTGATAAATATTTTAGGAGACGTAATTTCCACAAAATGTAACGGATCGTCCGACCTTTTTCATCCAGACCTGCCTCTTAAAATGTGTAAAACGAGTGACTAAATATACTACACAGAGGGATGTGAGCACAGCGCAGAAGACAGCGTTTTTAGGAACGTGGGTTATCGATGAAATAAAGAAAGCCGCGCAGGTGGGTTACCAAGTGACTGAAATTTACGAAATTTGGAAATATGCAGTGACACAATACGATCCTGTTTCCCGAAAAGGAGGATTGTTTGCACAATAAATAAATCAAGTTATAAAAATTAAATTATCCTCGATATCGACCAAATAGAAAACAATCCGGCCAGACGGTCGATATCAAAACTAGCAACGAATTCGTTTTGAGGTAAACTCGGGCAAAGAGAAAATTTGGCGAAAACATCAATTTCGATGTTTGGAGAAAAAATATTCACGATGTATTCCCACAAAAGAAAAGTCAGTTTTGGTTCCTGCACAGTGCCTTACAGATTCAAGAGGCGCAGAATTAATTAATATACCATTTTTATTATAATTAATAATTTGTATTAAATGTTGAGAAGTGAAGAAGATTATTTATAAGTTTATACATTTCAAATAAAATTGTTTGAAATAAAAGGTATTAAGAGTTTTTCAATTTTATTATTTATTGTATAACTACTATAGAGAGAAACAAACTTGATGTCGGAATAAAGGCTTGTTAACAAATCGTTTTTTTTTTATTATTTTATATAATACATTATTTTCAACTTAAAAATAAAAGAATATCCTTTACATTGTAAATATATTTAATCTAAACATAAATCATCCAGAATAACTATCATAAACAAATTTAATCCTGAAATAATTCGCATCCATTCTCCGAAGTGTGGACACGAACATTTATGTTCAACGCATTTCAATTTATTCAATTTTGATTTAATAAGGCGGTTGATAGCCTCCGCCTTGTGTTTTTTAATTTTCTGGAAAAAAAATAACATGTTTGATTATTTAAATTATTATCGAAATAACATTTTCGTAAAATAACATACTTTGTCTACACTTTTCTTAACGCTATTTTTAGCGGTTTTTTTTCTTTAGATCGGCGTATCCTTTCCATATAGATTTTCCTATTTTCCTTTACCTATGTTATGTGTTTGTTCAATTTCTTTGATTTTTTCTGCATCAAATTTAATAGCTTCTTCAAAATTCTAAAAATATTTTAATCATTATATAATTTTATAGCGAACAGTAATAAATTACTCTAAGACTTACACCACCGTACGAGAATTTGTGCAAATTTTCCGAAAAATTTTCGTTTATAATGTGTTCCTAAAAATAAAACGCAAGAATACTGAAAGCGAATATTTCTAATAAAATATTTAAAATGACGAGATTTTTTTACTTCTTTTGGAGTTGTTATTTTCTCCGGTGATCTAACGCATTTATTTGTCTCTTCCAAAGGGATCTCTTCCTTTAAAATGAGATAATTCTTGTAATGATAATACAAAAAAAAAAATATATATATATAGTCAGAGAAACATGCGAACAATACTATATGTACGAAGAAAAAATATGAATGATATACAAAAGCATTGTTACGAAAAACAACATGAAACCGGATTTATAACTTATTATTCGCAATATATATAAATACATTCTAAAACTAAGGAAATATCAAAAGTCTAAAAAACTTAGCAAAAGTATGTTTTTCTACTGGTTTTTCAAGTTATTTGAATTTCCGCGAGAAAAATATCCGCGGGGCACTTCCTTGGGGAGACCACCCGTCCCGATGATTTAAATTATGGCGGGAAAACAAGGGCCAATCAGAACACAGATATTTAAAATTACGAGGGACCTCGTGGTATCCAACGAAATAAGCTTGGGACTCTTCGAAGGGAGTGGTGGAGGGGCTGCTGGTGGCATCCCCTATACTATTCACGTTTAAAGCAAATAGATTATAAGCGAATTTAGTTATAAATAGATGGATTTATAAAATAATACATGCGTGCATATCTAGTAATCTCGTCTGAAATTATTATATTAATCCATATATGTTTTCAGTATTCATAATTAGTAGTATGTAGGACACTTGGGGCAGACAAACATTACCCCCTCCACTTTCCCGGTTCATGGTGTTTGATGAGCTGGACTTTGACCCTTTAATCTTCCTTGCCCCCCCCCGCAGATGGTCGTCGGGTCTGAAGGGCCAGACAAACATTACCCATTCCACTTTCCCAGTCATGGCGTTTGGTGAGCTGGGCTTTGCCCCCGCTATCTTCCTTGGAGTTGCCATCCCCCCCGCCGATGGCCGTCGGGTCTGATGGGGCCTACATTTAAAATTCGCTAAGGTGGTTTGACGAGGGTTATTTTCACCCTTATTTTTTACATTGTGACATCACCACGCCGGTAACCTTCCTGCCCGCTAATCTTCCTTGCCCCCCCCGCCGATGGCCGTCGGGTCTGATGGGGCCTACTTTTAAAATTTGCTAAGGTGACGAGGGTTGTTTTCACCCTTATTTTTTACATTGTGACGTCACTTTTTTAAAAATACTTTGCGGTTTGACGAGGGTTATCTTCACCCTTATTTTTTCATTGTGACGTCACCACGCCGGTAATCTGACCGCTCTTGCATATTCGTGCATGCCTCGCCCAATCTTGAAACTTGACGAACATGTTTGTGCATGTCTCTTTCGTTACCCCCTTCATCAGTCGCCGAAATTTAGAGTATTGCATTCATTTTAAATTCATTTTCTCCTCCTCTTTTTTCAAACCGGGTTGGAACGGTCTTCGCCAGAGTTAAAAAATGAATTTAAAATGAATGCAGACTTCCAGTCAAATTACCCTCTCATAATAATGATAATTTTAAAAATATAGAAATCCTTCTAAATAAATTAATCCAAAAACTTTCAAACAATTAAAATAGCCCTCTCATAATAAGTAATGTGAAACAAAAACATAACGAAATACTTCTAAATAAATAAATTAATCCAATAAACGTTCAATCAAATAAAATAACCAATATCATAATAAATAATGAGAAACAAAAACATATAACGCAATATACTTTCAGACAAATAAAATAACCCTCTCATAATAAAATAATGAGAAACAAAAACATAACGACATACTTCTAAATAAATGAACGCAATCCCGCGTTAAATAAAAATCTAATTGTCTAGCCGACCTATTTTG